TGAAACAAAAGTTGATAGGTCAGCATATGAATTAAGCGCTGTGAATCTTTATATTAATTCAGGAAAGTCAATAAAAAATTGAAACCTTCAATTTGAGTAAAGCTGCTATATTACGAATATTGAAACTATAACAGAAGGACAGGCAGATTAAATGAGATCGTTCATTTCACAGCTTTCGCTACTTTTACTCTTTGAGGAGAAATAGCAGCGTCACTCGAGAATACTTGATCTGATGAAACTGACGGGTAAAAGGTATTTACCAGGCCCAAAACCATGTTAACTGGTGCTCTAACCGGTCCATTACCTCATGATGCGTGCCCCTCGATTGGCTGCGCTACATTTTCTTGCCTCACGGAATAATTTTAGTTTATGGTGAATACAACATAATGACCTCACAAAAGGTTTATTCGCGGTGACAGTGATTCACTTTCAATCATTATTTACTCAGTACTGTCCCGTTTATGTCCACGTTGGCTCAAATGAAAAGAACGTAAGCTCGGGGGCTCGCAAGCAGCGCTTCGTGGCATACTCTCATCGGAAATGCTTGTGCCCTCATGGTCAGCAGGAACATCAGGTCATTTTTCACAAAGATGACGGATCTAAGATGAACCCTTGATTTACGCATCCACCGCAACATGCATGGCGTTTGTATATTAGAATCCTGGCTAGACTAAAATGTTGAAGACTCACTGGTTGGAATCAATGAGTTCAAATGCTTTCGTAAGATCAGAAAGCAGTATAAGAAGAAAACGGGAGGTGAAGTGACTAACTACAGCAAATCTTCTTGGATTGGCAAGTTTGGATTTTCATTTTGAGTATCATACCGATGGCATCGATTATTCAGCACATCGATGCTCCCCTAGATTATTACGACATAAAAGGATAATTATCACAAATTTATGTACAGCTCACTTTTGTACTCCGTTTCACATTTCATTCTTTTTTTATGCATTAATACCGTCTTTTGTTCCCCTAACAGACGACAGTCTCCACATTGTGGTTGGTGTCTCTGATCACGCATTCAGTTTCACTTTCAGTTTTTACCACCATTAACCATGCATATTCGTGCGCCGGTTTTGGTTACTGTCTTTTGCTGTCCCATTTGGATAAAAAGAGTAGAATGAACACTAGAGTGTTGAAAGCAGATTCCAGCGGAAAAGGGAGAATTCATATTGAGTGGTGTGAGGAGAATAATGACTGAATGCACGAGAGCCGCTGTTTGCGACACAGCCATATCAAGCAGTGTCTCTAATCATCGGTGAACATCACCTTGGAGTCGCCAGTCAGGGAGCCTAAAGGGGCCTATGTGATCTAGTCTCCTGGTTAGGGTTTACATACTCTCATGCCAGATCGTAACTTGACCACCCTTGGCTTTATTCTACCCATTACCTACCTCGGCGAACATCGCGAGCCGTGACAATCTACTGGGTGACATGCGTCACACATGCCCCAACGAACGTAGTATATGGAGGTCGACAGCTTGCTCCAGTGGACGACCGCAGTTGCCTAAAACTCTACGCCCGACCTCAGCATTGTTCGTCTGGCTACCCCACCAGATTTGTGCAATGCTGCGTAGACAGCTGTGTTCAAATACCGACAGTCTATCTATATCCTGTTTTCTTTATGGCCAAGTTTCTGCGCCGCAGAGCAGCACCAGCCGAACTGCCGCGGCATTTATTCCACCCTTCACAGACAGCCGGATGTCGCGACGGCGCCACACATGTCTCAAGTTGGCAAATGCCAATCGAGCCTTCTGTATGCGAGCTGGCACTTCATCCGTGATGCGCCAACAGGGTAAGATGTGGCAGCCCAATTAACAAAACTTATCCAATTGCTCTATTACTTCTCCACTAAGAGTGAGGCTGGGTGCTGGACCAACCCAGTCTTGTAGTAACACTTTACACTTTGAAGGTGCAAAACGCATAACGAACATGGCTACGCTGGCACCGAAGCTATCCAGGAAAGCTTGCAACTTACCTGGATCTTCACTTAGTAGCACAATGTTGTCAGCATACTCCAGATCAGACAGTCTGTCACTAGGAAGTAACTCGATACCGCTATTCTCGCACGGGGATAGGGCTGTTTCAAGAAATAAATCTATGAGAAAGTTGCATGACTTGTGGTTGGGCTTTTTCGTAAGACGACAAAGAATACGATTTACGATTGCTAAGCTTGGGAAAGATTTTTCAGTTTTTTTTTAATTGTCAGCACACTCTCGAAACATTTCTGGCTCAACGGATACAGAATCGATCATGAAAGAGCATTCAACGTCGTGCACCAAATCGTCACAATCGGCCCAATGTGGATTGCTTTCACTAACTAGCTGTTCGCGAGATGAGCGTCATTCCCTTGTTAAACCTACAGTCGTGCGAAAAATGGCTGGTTAAGGTAGTAATTTATAAGGGGAAATGCGTCACTTGGTCCACCGGTTAAATGTCACATCTACTGACAGAATGCGAATCATCTACAAACCAACCTTATTCGTGTTCCACACTCACAAAATATGGACCTACCACTCAGCCAACAGGCAGTATTGTGTAAAGTTTCCCTTCCGATAGGTGAATTGTACAAGCAAAACAGAGAACTCTTAAAAAAATTGTTCGCTCATCTACACATTTTCTAGGTATTTTGTATTACTCAGTTGATTGCTTGGTTTCGTAAATTACCCAAAACGGAAATTAATTTCTCCTTCAAATTTCATGAAATGCCTGCTATTTGTTGACAATAAAAATTCCAGTAACCCCCAGCCTCGCACCACGTTACACTAAGTTGTACGTTATGGAGACGTTAGATAGCCAAGTCATGATTGAAAGGGACTGATAATGCAATTGAAACGAAACGTAACTTCAAACATTTGAAACGACGAATTGTTTGTCACGATTAGAAGTTAGGTGTATGCATTGGATAGAATGGAGTAGTAGTTTAGGTTGTTCTCATCGGTTGGGTCTACATCTACGATCTCAGTTCTCATTACTCATGGTTGGTCGATGTGCAGGTTTAGAGAGTAACCAATTTTTGAATATAATCACCATCCCATGTTTGTCCTCTACCGTACTTACGGTACAAAGTGAATATGTAACGGCTAATTTTCATACTTAACATCATTTCTTTTAAAGCTATGATACAAATAATGAACATATAATCGAATGCGTACCCGCTCTTTCGGCTTCTGCGATTAATTTCTTCCGAAGCGTAGCTGCGTTTGGAGCCATTACAGCACGGTATTCTTCCAGACGACGTTCATACCTCTCCAAATACGTTTCAAGCTGTGCATACATCTTTTGTTGATCATCATATTCATCCGCACCAACTTCCGTCTCTCTTGTACCCATCACTGATGGGACATCCTCATCCGGTGCAGACTCATTTCGCAATCCCGTGGATTCCAACACACCCAATGTGTTTGATTTATCAACTCGAAATCCACGTGGCCACGGCGGTGGGACAATACGTGCTTTCGCTGGATCGATGCCAGCTGCTTCGCACTGTTGATAAAGTCGATGATATGTGTAAGCATTACTGCCCTGCAAAACGATCACATGATGTGGCGTTATCAGTCGATGAAAACCGGGATGTTTCTCATCTCCCATTGCCTCTTCATCATCTGGATCGGCTGTTTGGACAGGGACAAATGACCACACAGTATCGAGTATCGTTTTGTTTTTGAAGAAATACGTTTAGTATCGACTTCAAGAAAATGATAAGCCATCGCTCTCCATTTTACACCAATAGAAAACACCTGATTTAATTTCTATTCTCTCATCCGGTTCGACACAATGATCCGATTTTGTTCATATATGAGGAAGTCTATCTGTACTCGAACTATGAAATGAAAACACACGTCCGCAATAAAATAGCGTTTATACCGACTGAACATGAAATGAAATAAAAGAGACTTCTTTTTGTGCTGTGAACGATTAATTTTATCGAGGCAATAAGTGTACAAAATATGGCGTGATTCTCGTGAATAGAGTAACAGCCATGTGCGAGAACATTCAGACAGCCAGATATTTGTGAACATTGAACTGAAACAAAAGTTGATAGGTCAGCATATGAATTAAGCGCTGTGAATCTTTATATTAATTCAGGAAAGTCAATAAAAAATTGAAACCTTCAATTTGAGTAAAGCTGCTATATTACGAATATTGAAACTATAACAGAAGGACAGGCAGATTAAATGAGATCGTTCATTTCACAGCTTTCGCTACTTTTACTCTTTGAGGAGAAATAGCAGCGTCACTCGAGAATACTTGATCTGATGAAACTGACGGGTAAAAGGTATTTACCA